TACCTCCAGGCTGTCACTTCCCCTGAAATTCCTAAAAAACTCTCCAGTTCAACCATATCACATTAGTCCTCCCTGAACTGAAGTCTTAATCCCACATAGTTCCTTCAGCCCAATTCCTTCAAACACCTATGCTTAAAAATTGAAATGAGCTGGAATCTTGAAGGGACCTGAACAATGTGAACTATGACGAGAGATGTAGCAGAATTTCATGAGAAGCTCAATGAGGCCTATCCTGACATTGAGAACAACTCGTTGCAATTTCTAACTAAGTTCCCAGCATCGTGGCAAGATTCTGACTGGGTAGCGGTGAGTTACCTAATAAAGAGGATTATTGCTTCTAAGAGACCTTATTAACTGCACATCTCACCCCATTAACATGTACTTCCTATCATAACACATATCACAAGCAAAGTAGATGCCAAGAATTCTCAACATCTCGCCGCTGCCTGTGAAGAGCTACCATGTTGGTCATCACATAACAGCATCTCAAGATACAATCCACGGGTACTGGCCACACGTACCTCTCGTCCATAGACATTGTTATCCAATAATTTCCAATCCCTCAGGATCTTTACTGAAAGGATGCTGCATGGACACTTTAGGCATTAGGGCGGGAACGCAAGTCAAGAATTGCACGTCTCAGGGCTGCTGGAGGCTGTCATGGTACCTACCCGGATACTATCAGCATCTCTGCCTTTCCTATTAGCATGGCCACACAACCAAGCAGTTTGCCTTGCTGGTCAACTGCCCTTAGTCAAAAGGACATACATCTCATATGTGGCACCATGCCGCGTCAATCTCAAACCTGCACCAACTGCAAATAGCTTACACATCAACATACTGCATTTGCAAGAAGCAAGCCACCATGTCTCAAAAGTTTCAGGCCAATAATCCTCACCAAATCCATGATGGATGGATATTCAGAGGTTCCCAGCAGGGTAAGTCAAGGGCAGACCCCCATTCCAGTCCAGGCAATTGGACATGCTCAGGTGTCTGGTCAAAGTGTCCTCAGTCAGGGGTCCATATCTTTACAGTCTAGGAAGTAGGGCATGATATGACCTGTAGGTCTACAGCAGCCTGTCCAGAGGGGTAGGGCTACTGCAGTTGGGAAGACGTGGAGATATCAGTCAATGGTCTCAGGCAGCGAGGTCACCCAAATGGGTGGGTCAAGTCAATCCGTCAGATCTATTCAAAGAAACTAGGGGAAAGGGATTGAGGGGTACAAAAGGTCTATTCCCAAGAGGGAAGGAAAGAGTCAGGAACCTATTTCTGGGTATAGGGGCTGAATGGTGGGGGGAACTTGGGGATGACAATTGTGAAGGTGGGTAACTAACTTTCTAAGGGTGTGATATGGTAAGTCATGGCTGGGAACAGGTCATGCAGGACAGGGATTCATCCATGGTCAGGAGAACCCTGATTTCAAACTGGGATGCAACAGAAACAGTGCATGGCAACACCCTGCATGATCACTTCATTGCCAAAGGTTGAGGGGAGGGTGGATGAAACTGTCTATACTGATCATGGAGTGAAGTAGACGGTGGTCTGCACTGCAGTTGTCAGCTCTGTCACAGCACAGTGGTCTTTGCAGCCCCTCACTTGGATGATGACATCATGGGCAGATGCCTGTTCTTCAAGTGAGGGTGTTGCTATGAGATCTTGTATCTGTTTTTGTGATGGAATAAAGTGTCGGCCATGTTCAATGCCCATTCTCTAGGCATTTTGTGAGGTGCAGAAATTCCATACCTGTTGGCTTTCTCTAATACCTCTCTGTTGATTACATCTCCCCAGAGGTCTGTGGCCTTTGTAACACTCTGGCAGTGAAGTCACCAGGGACGATCAGCTCATTGGGACACGTGCCAGGGTGTGTGTTTGAGGTTGCTGGAAAATTATTCTATTCCTCCTTGTCTGTAGCATTCACCCATAAGGCATATGCACTGAAAGCTGTAATGCACAGGTTCTTGGTGAAGGTGACCCAAGTGGCCATGTGGCATTCTTTCACCTTCAATGGGAGATTCTGAGATGGCCAACTAGTTCATTTTTTTAATGGCTTGTTGAGTTGGTGCTCTTGGATTTACTGTTACAGAAGGTGTAACCTCCACCTTGCTCCTTGAGCTGGCCTTTCACTGCCCACCAGGTCTTGCTTAGGGCAATGATATCAATGTTGAAATGTCAGACCTCCCTGCCAACAATGGCAGTACACTGTTCCAGTCTTCACTATTGGAATTGTTCATGAGGGTCTGATGTTCCAGATTCTGAAATTCATTTTGAAGGAAGATGTCTGTGCATGAACTCTTTTAACATGGGATGGTCATTACACGCCAGCTATTACACAGGATTGATGGGATTTTACAGGCATTAAAGTATAGATTTGTTAGAAGCAAGCACTAAAGTGACAAGTATACCCTGTGTTTTATATTACATTTGCATCTTCTAAAGAGGCTCGGTGGTAACATTTAGCTGAGGAAAAGAAATTCATGAAAATTCTATCTTCTAAAGGCATTGACTACAGCAAGGTGAAGATCCAGGCACTAATTACCGTCTAGTATCTCACATAAGTAATCATTTTTCACAGGTGATCAAAGTCAGTGAATATTGTTAGGCTATTTCACAATGGAACATTATTCTGTCTCCATCCAGTGCTTATCTCATGCAACTTAAAGCAATTATCACTACCTAGTTATTGCAAGTAATCACCCTGATGACCTTCTCCAATCTACAACGCCACTCCAACAACAACAACTAAAACATAATACAGGAATCAAGACTTTAACAAAAAGGGCATGAATTTGCCAGCTCCCAAGTGGCAAGCTAGGAAGCAGGATTACCTATAAATGGTGCCAGATCATTGTGCTAACAGTTCAGCAGCTCACTAACCAGAGGCAGGCAGGCTGCCAATTTGAATAATTATAGGCTGCACTGAGGTCTATACTCCTGTTTGCATGAAGAGGGTCTCTTGGAGCTCCCAAGGTGCCTGAGGCTACTGGGGTGAAGGTGGAGAAAAGCATCCAAATACGTGCCATTTAGCCCCCTTAGCCTGCTCCAACATTTAATAATCTGATCTGATTGTAATCTCAATTCCACATTCCTGGCTATACCGAAAACCTTTCATCCACTTTCTGAACAAGAATCTGTCTAGCTCCGCTGTACAAATATTTAAAGACTCTGCTTCCACTATATAAACTCCATTGAGTGCAAGCCTAGCCTAACCAACCTGTCAGCATAAGTCAACCCATCTATTCCAAATATCAATCTGATAAACCTTTTCTGATCTGCTTGTAACATCTCTCCTTAAATAAAGAGACCAATGCTGTGCTCAATAGTCCAGATGTGGTCTCACCAATGCCCTGTATAACTGAAGCATAACCTACATATCTTCCCCTCCGCTCACAATAAACAACAACATTGCTTTGATTTTTCTAATTACTTGCTGGAGGTGAGTTACTCGCCACAGAATTCCTAGCCTCTGACCTGCTCTTGTAGCCACAGTGTGTATGTGGCAAGTCCATTTCAGTTTCTGGTCAATGATAATTAGCACAACATCTCTAATCCATAAAAAGGTTCTGCACTAAGGTTGGTATGGTAACAACTAATTACTTTTCGAATAGATCTACAAAATGACTCTTTCACTCCCTGTTACCAAATATCACAATGAGAATTGATCCCAAATAGTAATTATCCAGTCTCTAGTCCCAAAAGTTTTTAACACGATTGCACATTTGAAAGATCTGACAAAGAATACGAAAGTAGTAATTCTCCCTGAAAATTTCAGGAGAAGGCTCAGAACTGCAGCTGCTGTTTGATTACACCACAGAAACTTTATTAGACGCTGTACTGGCCAATGCAGATGCTGTCAGTAATAATTAACCTTCCCGACTCCAGCTATCACCTCTGCAGCAATGCTGATATGCCCATTTAAGTCTGCCTGTACTATAAACGATTAAAATAGATGAAATGCTGACTATATATTCAGCTGAGAGCCTCACAATCCATTGCGGGCAGAGGAAAAATGGCAATCTGCCAAGTTTTTAAGAAGCACATGTTTGATTTTCTCCTTTAGCACTTCCAGCTAAACTGCTTACTGGCTAGAGACCATAAAAATGATTAGGAAGGGGGCTCGGTACAAAGTGAAATAGCCAGATAAGTTTTTTTTAAAAAAAGCAAAAATCTGTGCAACATTGTGATCAATTATGTGCAAAATTTGCATTCCAATCAAATACTCCAACACAACAACAATTTCTGTTGATTGTTGCTGTTCCTTCACGTTTCTCCTTCATTCCATTAGGCCCATTCCTCTTAGTACATAAAATTCATGGCAACACCTCAATGTCTTCACGTTTCTTCCCTGTCCTCTTTTGAACAGCATGCCAATGCACTAAGAAACCTGTCATAATTCTTTACCTGAAAGAGTTCTTGATCAATATCATAATTATCAAAACATGAGGTATCTAATCCTTTAAGAAATCCAAAAGGTTGTGCGTCATTTGAACTGTCATAGACATTCGTCATCCTTTAATTAGCAGGGAGGAGGAGGGTGGATTAGCGCAAGTGAATAACTGCAATAACATTCACAAGAAAATTAAGGTAAAATTCCCCAATTATCAAAAAATAACAAAGGGATGCTCACAAAATCAGTTTTGGAAGCTATAAATAGACCTCTTGATGATGCCCTCATGATGTTCAGGCAGATGCACTGTTTAACAGCAAAGTGTGATGAGGGAAGCAACAGATTGCGCAAACAACGCACGTTTACTTCATTAATAGCTTTTGGTGGATTTCTTGTTGCTTAGCTCAGAGAAAATCAGCACATTGTAAATTTCCTTCCGAGAAGATTTGTGATACTGTAGCAATGATCTTCTGCAGTTGCTCAAACTACGATGCCCTATCCAGTCAGAGAAATATGCGGTTGCTTCAGTCATTATGTCACAGAATAGTGATGCTGTACACAACATATAGCTTAACTTCTGGTCCTAGCTACTGAAATGAAATATAAGTGCACTTACCCAGTGTATAGGTCCAAGGCAGACCTTGGCAGCCATGAGTGGTATACTTGGATCACTGGGTTGGAGATTTGCACATTCTCTAAGAGCGGACACAGCCCAAGTTGACTGAAAATTAAAAAGATGATTCAACATTACTTCTTACTTGAGAACACATTTTGTTTACCTTCAGAATAATTGAGTTTCACATGAATCAGAGATGCATACCATGATCTCCAAAGAAACTGCAATGTTTGAAAAAGAAATTTGAATTTCCAATTAATAGCTGAAAGGATAACACAAAATTTCACCTTTTAAAGCTTTTATTGTAACAAACAAATTAAAGGCATTACTGACTAAACAATTTGTAGACAACTTATACTTTAAAGTAAAGAACTTTCCCTTTGTTTTTAACACAACCAACACACCAACTTCACAGGTAGGCTTGACGTGCCTTAATTGATCATCAGATTGCCCAGAGCTATTCCAGAATAATTCTAAAATACTGAACCTTTACTCTTGATCCTTCCTTTTCCTAGCCTGAAACTTTTAACCAACTACTATCTTTCACAGTGAGGGATTTTCATGGCGATCCTCTCTCTCTACTGCAAGCCAGGCAAATCTTCCAGCCTTAGAATATTTAGGAATCCTTCCCCTCTCAAAACAAATTTCCATGTCAGTATGAATCATATGGCCCTTGTATCCAAGTAGAAATGCCAATTAGATATCCTGGAGATGCCAACTTTCTCTTATCTTGCAAGTAAATGGCATTTAAAGCATAACGTTTTATAACTCAACATTCTCAACATCTTGTAACTTTGAAGACTAGCAATCTAACCAATGAAAATACAGATGTTGCTGCCATCATACTGAAGTATGACCACCCAAAATCTCTTTCTAACAAAACCCCAACCTGGGTCTACATGTATTCTTTTAACAGCCATGCCCCTTTGGCCTGTTGTTAGGAAGACTTTGAAACAGGTCAAATGGACCCTTTCAACTAACTCTAAATTAAAGGCAGTGACCCAACAGATAACTATCCTACAAGCTTCACAACTGTAAGAAATAATTAAAATGCAGCATGCAAAACTAGCATTAATAACCACCATGAAAACATTGGCATTGTGCATTCACAACAAATCATTTTGAAATAACTGCACAGAGGCCAGTACACCATCACTAAGTAACTCTATTTATATGTGCACAGTACACAGGCTGTAGCCTGCCAGCTCGGAGTCAATCCCTGAATTCAGGAAATTCTGAATCCCCTCCTTACGTTGGTCAGCCACGGCTTCCTGATTGGCCCAGGTTAACAACCCCAAAGAAAGATCTTGTAGTCAACAAGATCCACTTGGTTCCAATCACTACACATTTCCTGTGTAAAATATTTATTATAAAACTAATATTGAGCCAGAAAGGGAATTAAAAGAGACAGGTTAGCCATTCTATAGTTAATATCTCTCATTCTTAGTGATTAGGTTTCCTTCTTTAATATTCATTCCTCTCTTAAAGGAAAGCCATTAAGATAGAGGCCACTCATGGCGGATGATATTTCAGAAGCAAAAGCCCAACTTTGGCACGCCTCACCCAATGATCACTCAATACTTGTAGGCATAAGCAATTAGCATCAGCACACTATTCAATTATGTATTGGGGACAGGGAGTCTGGGAAATATAGCCATCTTCATCTGATATCCATAAAAATTCCAAAGGTAGCAATGATTTGGCAATCAGGAAATTGAGCTCTAGATGGTTTTTACTCTGGGACACTGAAAGTAACTTTAACATCTCTGTCCTACCTAGGGCAAAATTAGCGAAGTCAGACCCAATGTTAGGACATATAGTTGATCTACCACCAAGTCATCAAGGTGCCTTTGCTTTCTCTGGCATGCTTTAAATTCAAGTGCAATGTTGAGCTTATATCACCAAGGGTAGGCTTTGAAAACCAAAAGGAATCATTTATAACCTGATATTTTACTCATCAATCTCCTTTGATAATTTCAGTATCAGGTTCACAAAAATGCAATAAAAAGTTGTTTACACAGGTTCCTCAGAGATGCACTCATTGCTTGCCAAAATTACAGCAGGAATTAGGACAGCCGTTGTGGTAATTTGGAATCTGTTTCCTTCCATTAACTGCTCTGGAATATTTGTTTGCACAGAAATTGTTGAAGACATCATTGGATCAGCAAACTAGGAGCCGTCACTGCCCCTGACAGTTGAATTAAACATGCATAAATTGCCATGATTTACCCAGCAGCACTCCATTTTAACCACAGAGTTATTGATGCTCTGAGGAATAGCACTGACTGTTCCAAGGCAGGTTCACAAGCAACATCATCAACAAAGCATTTACCATTCAAATGACTATATTCCAAAACTTAGGTAAAAGTGACAGGCAGAAAATGATAGACTGCTAGTGTTTAATTATAACTCATTAAAATGGTTTGACTTTTATAAATGAGATAATGGTGACATTTAAAATGTAAACAGTCATTTGTACCAGAGATTTTTCTCCCAATTGGGGCCATTTGATTGATGTAGAATTAAATAAATATGAAAAGTTAGCCCTTAAACAAAAACATCTGATCAGCTATCCAGTTCAGGTTGAAGAATGAAATCATAGAACGATACAAACGTAAAATCACTACAGTGTGGAAACAGACCATTCGGCCCATTGAATCCACACTGATCTTCTAAAGAACATTCCACCCAGATCCACCCTCCTACCCTATCCCTGTAAACCTGCATTTCCCATGGCTAATCCACCTAGCCTGCACATCCCTAGACACTTTGGGCAAATTAGCATGGCCAATTCACCTAACCTCCACATCTTTGAAATGATTACAGAGTGACACATCCTTCAATCTACAACAGCTACCATAAACTGTGGCTCCTTTTATTCATTCATTCATGGGATATGGGTATTGCTGGCTCAGCCGGCACTGATTCTCTGTCTACTTGCCCTCAAGGTGGTGGTGAGTTGCTTTCCTGAACCATTGTAGCCCAGTTGGTATAGATACCCTCCCCACAATGTGTTGCAAAGGGAATTCCAGGGTTTTGAAGGAACTGCAATGCATTTCCAAGTCAGGACGGTGTGTGGCTGGAGGGGGAATTTGCAGATGGTGGTGCTCCATGTATCTGCTGCAGTCATGGGTTTGGAAGTTGTGGTCTAAGGAAGCTTTGCAAATTTCTGCAATGCATCTTGTAGATGGTACACACTGCCACCACTGTACATGGGTGATGAAGGGAATAAATGTGGACGGTTGGATTGGGATCGCAGTTTGTCCTGGATGGTATTGAGTTTTCGGATTGTTTTTGGAGCTGCAACATTCCAGGAATATGGAGAGTATTCCATCACAGTCCTTCGTAGATGGTAGACAGGCTTTTCTGAGACAGAAGGTTAAGTCACGTGTCACAGAATTCTTTGATTATGGCCTCTTATATCCACAGCATTTATATGGCTGATCTAGTTCAGTTTCTGGATAATGGTTACATCAGAAATGCTCACAGTGGGGATTCAGTGATAGTTATGCAACAGAACATCAAGGACAATGGTTAGGTTCTCTTGTTGTTTGAGATGGCCATTGCATTTGTGTGGCATGAAAGTTACTTGCCACTATCAGCCCAAGCTGGAATGTTGTCTAAGTTGCTGCACATGAACCCAAGCTGTTTCAGTATCTAAGATGTTGCAAATGGTGTTGAATATTATGCAATCATCAGGCAACATCCCAACTGGTGATCTTATGATAGAGAAAAGGTCATTGATGCAGCAGCTGAAGTTAGTTGGGCCTAAGACACTGCCCTCAGCAACAACTGCAGTGATGTCTTGGAGCTGAGGTGATCGATTTCCAACAACCACAGCGATCTTCCTTTGTGGTGGTTTTTTCTCCCCAACCAGTCAAGAGTGCTCCCCCAACACCTACCTTCATTGAGTCCAACTTACTCTCATTTTGTTGGAGCTCCTTGAGACCATACTCAGTCAAACATTACCTTGACATCAAGGGTAATCACTCTTACCTTACCAAATAAAAACCAAAAGAACTGTGGACGTTGTAAATCAAGAACAAAAACAAA